GGAGCCAAAGGTGTGTCCTGGGCACACTGCTTTGCCTCAGAGACTGGCCACGGTCTAGCCCTCCTGTGTGGAAGTATTTTGAAAAGCAAAATGCCTTGCCTATAGGAGTCAATGGCCTCTGCTTTGGCTGCACCCCCTCCACTCCATATGTGGGCTTTTGGCAGGGAAGGCTTGTTGCCTAACCAGCGCCTGCAGCAAGCACCACGACCCATTAAAAACGCCTATCAAGCTGATTTCCAGAGCAGCACTATCTGCCTGGGTTTGTTCATTAAACCAAGAAAACTCAACTGAGGGAGATGCTGAAATCTTTCACATGGCTCTGGGAACCTGCTAGGATGGCCCTTGCTTTGTAGCACTGTCTTCCAGATAGGCTTCCCCCGACCCCCAGCCCCCTTGGAATAAAAGAATACATTTTACACTTTATGTGTAGACCATCTGGCCCCTAGGTGGGCATGACAGCAATTCTTACCAACGCTGTTGTTCTCCCTTTTGTCTCTAGAAGTGAGCCCTGAATGCTGGGTGCCTGCAGAGACTACACGCAGCGCTGAAGTTAAGCACCTTTGGGCACACGATAGAAAGCACTGACAAAACAGGCAGAACTTTTCCACTTGGGAAGCATGTGCAAGCCTGGCTACTTAAGAACTGGTATGTCACAGGGGTCTATTTCAGCGCCAGTTCCTAGCCTAAGATCAGTGAAAATCCCATACCAGAGTACTTGCTGCACTTGACTTCCATTGCCTTGGCAGAACTGGCTGGCACAGGGACCCACTTCTCCAGCACAGGTCTGCTGCGTGCCTCTCAGTAGTTCATTCCCTTTGAAGTTACAACTGGAATGATTAAATGCATTGCTCAGAAAACAAATCTCTACGAAAAAGGAGTATGTGCCAGTTTTTATGTATAAGCATTTCTCCAGCTTTCTGCGGCACTGAATTCTCATTTAACTGATTTAAACAGCAAAGAAATACAGAAAGCCAGCTCACAGAGAGAGCGGTTCAACCACAGGACAACGTTATCTCAAGGCAGTCTTAGTTGAAATGCATTAACTATTTAATGCAACACCACAAATAAGCCTGCTTCATGCCCAGAGTGATCAGCCAAGGGAGGTCACAAGGCAAATGCCAGCAGAAATTAATATAACTTGACTCCCAAATATACAGTTTAAAAAAAACCACCACACTTTCTTAGTTTGAAATCCCTGGTAGGATTTAATCTGTTTCACACACCTTGAGACATGCTGTACAATGGACTTTCCCCTTGTCTTACCAGGGTGTTAGTAATACAACCTGTTTATCCAGAGGCCTCCTACCTCTTTCCCCTCAAGAATGGCAGAAGAAAGAAACATTGTGCAAAACGTCTGAAGCATGACAGCCCACCACTCAACGCCCTGCTAACACTTGAACTGCACTTCAGTACACTGTTTACCTAAAGCTGGGCAGCTCTCAAAACCTAATTGCATTCTTCCTCAACTTTCGTCTAATACAAGCAAGAATGTTTTAACAGAGATTTGGGATTGGTTTCTTCTGTTGCAACAGCTTACCCACAGCAGATTTGGGGATGGCAAGTCACAATGACTGGAAATCTGTGTTCTTTAAGGTAGGTTGCTGAAGAAGGTACGTCCTTTCTGCAGCGTACAACAGCCTGTAGGGACAGGCTGTAATGGCAGGGCTTACGAATAGCAAGATTCCCAACACCTTAATTTATGCCTCCGCTGAGAAAGGGTATGATGGACAGATTTCATCTTCTCAGATCACCCTTGCCAAGCAACACACTGAAAGACATGCAAATGCTTTCATTTATGTCACTGTAAGTTTTAAGATATTTGGGAATATTAGAAAAATCCAGTACCTTGCAGGGACTGAAGCATTCATATTTGGATTTCCAAAGGATTTATTTGCATCCCCATTCACTTGTAATTTTAAAGACAGTAATTTAGTGAATATACTGAACCAATCTTTTTTTTTTTTTTAATAAAGACTGAAAAACTGTCACTATTTAAGCATATTTTGTCTTCCAATGGTTAAATAAATCATTATCTGTCTACTTTAACTTATACATGTGTTGTCCAAGATTAGAGACAGGTTACACAGAACATACAGTCATGTTCAAAGGCCAAACTGGGCCACACCAAAGGTCTGTCCAGACCAGGATCCCCTCTCCAGCAGCGACCAAAAATTAATGCCAAACAAAGCATATAAGAACATATTTTTTTCCAGTTTCTAGCTAGCATGGTGTCCCCAATTGGATGTGGTTTCTGCATATTTAGTAGCCTGGATTTCTTTTTTTAACTTGGCAAATCTCTCTTGGAGCCTGTATAAACTTTCAGCACACCCACAGCATCCTGCAGGAAGAAACTCCCCAGTCCAACTACCTGTTGCAAGCCTCCTCCTTGGCTTGCTTTGAACCTGCCTCCTCTTCAATTCATTCGATACACCTTAATTTCTATATGTTCCCCTCCTCCATACAACCATGGATGCATAGACCTATCTCACACCCTCAGTCATCTAATTTACACTACAAGCATCATAAGGGCTGACAAAAAGCTGACTTCATTACTCAATACTTTTTCAACCCCATAACTTACACCTACTCCTAATCTTAGCCACACTCCAATAACCCTTGTCAGCCTCAGGACAAACTGCACCTGTACGGCTCACCAGCTGACACAGAAACCACACAGGAGTTAACGATACTCCTTTGGGTTCATCCTATGTCAGCCAAGACCCCAACTCCAGACCTAACTTTATGCATTTCACAAAGACTGCCACACATTTCCAAACTACTGGCAGTGGATCCTGCAGGCTTAGGGTGGTGTATGGGATCAGGATAGCCATGTTTTGGCCTCTTTCAGGTCATTTGGTGGCAAGTTCAAGGTAGTGGTCAGCTTAAGGTTTGAGTTCAGAGAAACAAGAATTGCAGAGAAGAATTTACAGGCATGTTCTGCAGGTACCTCACATCTAAAATGAAGGCTCGTGCCAGAAGACTAGAGTTAAGGTCAACAGAAGCTCAGGGCCCAGCTTCTTTGTAGACCATACAGCGCCCAGAGAGGGAGGACAGGGACCATCACAGGTCAGCAACAAGATCCATGGCAGGGAAAGTGGCAGGTACTGAACCGCGGCAACACACTGGCAGGGCCCTGATGAGCCTCACCTGGCCCCACACCTGATGCCCGTTGCTCTAGGAGCCCCATTTCAGCTCAGCCCTGTCTCCTGGATGGACCTGTGCAGTGGGTAGCCTTGCCTCCAGTCCCATCTCCTGACTGGATCCTGACCAATATTCAGCAACAAACCTACTTTTCAGCTTCTGTTGTTGGGACCTGGGCCTGAGCATCAGCCATGGGAGGTTGGTTGGAAGATACAGGCTTCTTGGGTAAATTGGCTAAAGTGAGGATTAAGATCAAGCTCAGCAGAAGTGGAAGAGGTGTTTTAGAATCCCTCCAGAACAATAATACTGGTTTTTACTGGCACGGGTTTCCTTAATTAGGTTTGGAGCAGGTAGGTGTTGCTGGACTGCAGGTGAAGCAAGGGCTGCTGCTGAGGCCAGGGAGGACCTCAGCCAGCAACACTCTCACTTGTCTTTCGTAAGACTGTTAATAAAATCCACAGCGCCGGTGGTAAAAGCAGTCACTGTTTCATACCCCAAGAATGACTTAGCTTTTGGGTTTAAACAAACTTTCCCCTGTCATTACAAGATGTAGAGACACAAATATGCAAAAGACATTTGCAGCACAGAATATGTAATTGGAATCAGGCCAGGATCATTTATGACTTGATGACCACCATCTCAGCGTAAACATCAAAAAGGGACAGCAGCAAATCCTTCACGCTGTGCCGCACAGAGTCTGGTATTAATGACTCTGCCAGAAATGCTGCGAACAGATCAGAGCTTTCCAAATCAGACAACATGCTTCCTGGAAGCACTTTTAGCCTTGATGGTAATAGGAGCTGTTGTCACATTATCATAAAGGTCTCCCATATGAGATCTAGTCCGATTTTGCAGCAGATGTTGAATAAGGATTGCTTGATCTTAACCTGTGTCTCAGCTGCAATTCCACTGTTGGAATGAGGAGCCAGCAAGGCCAGAAAGAGACACAGAGGAGGGCTGTTCCCATTTTCATTTGAGACATCAGGAAGTTCCTCCAGAAGCCTTCAAAGTGTCTTTCCCCAGTTCAGTAGCTAACCAGAGCAAACAGGCACTTGGCCCTGTCTTCAGAGGAAATCAACTTCTACGACCTTCCCGGAGCACTGGTCTGGTTAGGTCTGGAGGGAAGAGCTAAGTTGCAGCTGCCACTGCCTTGCTGGTCTGGCCCAGCAGAGCCAGAGGGATGTGGTATCAGCCAACCTAGCCACACACCAGGTCCCAGGCAAGGAAAAAAACCAAAAAACACTTTTACCAAATTTAAGCATTTCTGTATCTTAAAAAAAAAATAAAAGTGATAAAATAACAAAGGTCTGTTAACACAAATTTCAGGTTCATTGTTTTTAATTAATCCATGGCAGCCCATCCTGTGCTTAGCCAGAGCTGTGTAGTACTCTGTGCCACTGGGGTCCTGCCTTGCACCTTCACTGATTAGCCACCAATATTCCACCAACAGGCATGGTCATCCCCTTCCTGTACAAACTTCAGCTGAAGCCAAAACTCTGAATGCTTGCATCCCATGCCTCAGGAGCAGCCAGTTTTAAGGTTTAGGATTAGGCTTCAGTCACTGGGCTTTCCGGTCCTGTGCTCAGGCAATTAAACCATATTCTTTGGGCTTTGCATAAAAATAAGCCTACATTTTTCAGTAAGAAAGCATCTGTAATATAACTCTACAGGACCGAGAGCTTTGGGGTTCAAATAATGCTGTTGTTTTCAATTCCAGACAGAGCAATAAGGAGAAGTATTTAAGTTAAGACAACAGAAGAAGTCTTCTCATTTGCCATCTGTAAAACATTTTAGTGCAGGGAAAAAATAGTGTCAAGACTACACTTTTGAAAACTTTTCTTTGATTAGTGGCATTGTACCTTGTCAGTAAATACGGCGAGAATGAAGCGGGATTGTCCTGCTCGGAAAACATCGGCATGGATCCCCCCATTATCCAGAGGCGGAAATACAACATGAGAATCACCTTTAAAGAAGAACATCTTGGTTAGAAATACGCTACTAAGAACTAAGGCCTCCAGCAAATATTTTGTTGTGATAGATCTCCATGCTCTGCTTTGTGCCTAGAAGTGAGTCAGCTCAGTGGTTTAGGCAAAATTCAATTTTGCCACCCTATGCAGGATAACAAACGGGCCGACACTCAGCACAGACAGCAAGCTACGTTGTTGTGTTCCCTCTCCTTTCATGTGTGCATTACTGAGAGCAACTGGCATATCTCAGCTACCAATGACAAAGGCAGCATTTTGAAGGACAAATCCATCACCCTGCTGTGGCTCAAACAACAGAGTTTTGCTATTGACCTCTACCTAAATACAGAGGGGAAAAACATGGCTGATGTCTTAAAAGCTATTATCTTTCACTCATGCTGGCATAGGTGTAAGGACAAGCTCCACTGGTGTTTCTCATGCTGTGTAATCTTAATCCCTGGAAGGACTTCTGTGGGCTGGCACTCCTCCACCTTTCTGGGAACCACTTGTCAAGGGACAAGCAAGGGCATCTGGCTCCTAGAGCAGCACAGGGAGTTGCACACCCAGCACACCCCCCATGGAGGTGTTTGTTTTCTCCCCTGCAATATGTCAAGTCCTGCTTGGAGCACACCAAGCAGCAGGTATTTGCAGGCAGAGCTTTTCTTGTGACTCTTAGCGAGCCCAGCACTGAAACTAACAGCATGCCACTGAAAAGTCAGCCCAGCACCAGAGTGTCCTCCTGTATTTAGGGCAGGAAATACTTGCAGGTGACTACAAGGCTGTAAGGGCAACTGCTATAAATTAAAAAGAAAATCTGAACTGAAAACACTGCAATATTCTTGTCTCTGCCCAGCTGAAGTTTTCTAGACTATTTTCCAAGACTAACTTTGTATTAGGATCTACCCTCTAAGCTTTCTGAGTCTTTTGGGATACCACCACACAATGTTCATTTTTGTCATATACACAGAAATACATGGTCAAGTCCGTTCATACTTACGTAGCTTATCACCAAAGCAGCTCTCTTCAAAAAAGGCCTTGCAGTATACAGGAAATTCTGGTTGTTATTTGCAGTCAGGTAGCTGAAATATAAGGAAACAAATATTTGTTGAAATACTTTGAAACAATAACTCATTTTTCAAACTGGAAAAAAAGCTGTACATCGTTTTAACCACCTTAAACTAACATGCAGTAATAATGACATCACTCTTACTCTTCAAAGCTCTTTCCACATGACTTCAGTAAAGTATTGAGACCACTTCAAATAATAAACACTATAATACATTGCAGTTTCCCCATCAAAATCTGGTTTGGGTTTGTTTTTTTTTTTTAAATCATCAATTAACTCCTTAATCCTCAGAAAACTCTAACATATGCCGTCTTCAGACTCCCAGAAGCCTACACCGAGACACATTTTTAAAAGGTCACCCAAACAGAGCAACTCAATTTTAGGCCATGATTAAAATGCAAAAACTCCTTGTTCCCAGATCTCTGCTCAGTTTCTAGAGATGGAAACAACTGTCTAGCAGAACTGAACTTATGTTAAGCATTTTTTTTTTTTTAAAGTGTATCCTGCACACTTAAGTTTCATCACAAGTCTGCTGACAAGGTGTTATGATAATTAACTGCATAGAGACAAACACACAGGTGGCTTATTGTTGTAGTAACGTTCATAAAAACCTTCCTGTTTCTCCACGAGTAAAATTAAACTGTATCCGGAGCCAGAACTACACATTTATTTTAATATAGAGTAGAAGAACTTGCCAAATTCTAAGGACCTTCCTTAATATAACAAATGGTGCCATACCCATGACTTTAATTCAATGATAATTCCATTTCTACTGAACCTTACAGAGGCTTCATCATTCTAATAAAGCAATGAGAAACAAAGAGAAATACAGAAGAGACAACAGGAGTATTTTAAGCATATAGGAGCTAGAAAACTATTTAAAAAATGACAAATAATTTTAAGATGTTGTAAATATCAAGTAAACAAAATAAATTCAGAAGGAAAACATTTGCAGGTTCCTCTGTGTAACATACAATCAGTATTGGGATACTCTATTTAAATGATTTACAAAAACTGCAGCATGAATCACAACACCTGCACACAAGTTACCTTTCCAAGCACGAAAGCATCATATGTTTCTCCTGTGAACATCTAGCATATAAACCGCATCTGATTTCCTCTCCAAATTCCTCAAGACAGTCTATCATCCGATTGCTTCCACTCTTCAAGTCCTTGAAAAAACAAGATTGCAGCACTTCCTAATACTGCCAAGAATCTTTAATATCTGGCTTTTTGTTCAAATTTTCTATAGTAGGAAGTTTGCAAGCCTGGTCACCATGGCAAGATGGAGAAAAGATTACACTGCAGACAAAAGCATCAGGGGCAAAGCCAGCAAGAAACAGAGGCGGCATTTAACATGAAGAAAGAAGTACATCTGAGTGCTCTCTACAAAATAACTGCTCTTCAGAAAACTTTGCCTACGTGTCGTGCCTAAAACTTAGGAACCAAACCATACATCGTAAAGCAAGCCAGATGACTTTCAGTCTTTGGTGTCTACTTATTTACGAATGTTGACATTTAAGCACCAAATCCGACTTAAATGTCAGACTAGTCTTCAAGGGCTGAACTCTGCAAAGTGCAAAGTTTTTTGAGCTCCCTCTGATTTTAATCAGGCTCTAGCAAGTACAAGTGAGATGAAACTAAGCCTTCAGCCTTCTCTCTCCATGAAAGGTCAGGTTGGCCTTCAAGTGTTCACCATGGCCCTGCTCCAAAGCCCACCGGAGCCAAAAGGAAAGACTCTTGGTGACTTTAATAGCATTTGGATCAAACCCTGGTCTTTTGTTCCCTACTGGAACCTTTTATGAAACTCAACCCCCTCGTGATTTGCAGCAGGAACAGAAGTGTTGGGTTGCATTTTGTTTATATTTTTATGGGTGGAGGGAGGAGAGCCCTCTATTAATCACATTGCCTGACTCTTTTCAAGAACCTGTTTTCACTCGCTTGTAGTTTTAACTAACTGCAGCACTTTGGGCAGAAATTTTCCATTACAAATATTTGCTTTAGGTGGAATTATTCTGGGAAAAGATCAGCCAGAACAGTTCAGCTTTTTCTCCGAGACTTCAATTAGAGACAGAGGAGTAGTTTTATCGGTGTCAAGAAGTCTGCCAACTTCATCCTGGAGAAACTGCATCACCTCACACCAGTGACCTAAAATTCGGGAGGCAGCCGTTACCTCCGGGCCACGTGTTTGCCACCTTCCAGAACAGCCACCTGTGGTCGGGCATGATACAGGCCCAGGGGCCAGCACCTGCGGGGAGGTGGGGCCGCGCAGCCCCCACTGCTTTGCCACGCTCAGCGGGGATCTGGCTTTCAACAGATCAAGTTTGCATCGAAGATGTTCCAGCTGGAACGACTGCTAGGGACAACAGGCTGTTTGTGAAGGTAGCCCTTCAGCAAGAAGAGTAAACTTCATTTGAGGCTGCTGAGGCTCAGGAAAGCATGTCTGTGCTTCAGGGCCTTGCAAACACTGATCTAGGTCTGGAGACTACCACAGAGGATAGAGGAACCCTCATTATTACCATCTCTCTGTTCCCTCTCAAGCTTGGCCTGAGGAGAAAATTAAAGCCAGAAAATGAACATAAATGGAAGGCAGTAGTTGCTCTTTCATCCTTGGCAGTACAGTACAGGAATGCTTACTCTTTAAACATCATGACTTTGACTTTTTTTGTCTGCCTACAAGTAACTAAAACGTTGCCCACATCTCGCACCTTCCTTGCAGCAAGCGTAACACCATGCAAGCTACCACGGTTTCAAGGCATGAGTTTATCTGCAAGTCAAAGTTAATTTGAAGCGCTCCGCTGAATTGCAGGGTAGCTCTGGCCACTGCAGAGCAGGCCTTTTGAAAGCGTTTCAGAAAATCCTGACTGGCCCCTCACAGTTTATGTTGTGGAGCAGCAACACCTCTAGGAAAAAAAGAAATCCCTGCATTGGCATCAACTGCAAATCAGCACTCTGTGCTAGAGAGCAGATGGGCAGCAAGCAAGAAGGAACCAGAATGAAAGCAATGGGTAACTGGGAATAGGTGAAGCAAGAGTTCAGAGAGCCGTGAGCTTTCTGATCCTTCCTCCAAATGCATTTGCTACTTTGCAGCTTCAGTTAAGAAATGTTCCTTTCCATGATAGTTCAATTAGGAAGCAAGGCTTTTCCATTTTGAGAAAGCTGCTGTCCTAAAGTCTATCTGGAAACCATGAGAGATAACATGGTTCACGGCTTGATAATCCAGCTGTCCGCCCATCAGATCAACCTGTGGGAGCGGCATAAACGTATGGCTATGCTCAGTGCATCAAAGCTCTACAAGAACCACGTGGTTTTCCAGAGTACCTTACTGAGGCTACTAGTTGTTTCAGGGAAGGTAAATAGTAAAACATCTCACGTCTGGTGCAGGCAAAGAACAATACACAGTTTATGTATTAAAATCAAATGAACTGCAAACGGGACCTGGATGAGGAAGTTTGCTAAATGTCAGCGACACGTAGCATGTAAAATGCAGTAGCATTTTACATGTAAAATTGCAGCTTGCAAACACATCTAAAGTTACAATGAACTTTGCTGAGACAACCTTAAGATCAGCCAAAGCTCTTAATTTTTTCTTTAGCTAGGACAATCAAAGAAATTACTATTACAACAATTTAACTGTTTTATACCTGTTTTAAACAGCTGCCGTGTATAAAGTCATTTACGGGTCAGATTTCTATGCATTTGCCAACCACACCAGGCTGCCAAACATCCCACTGTTCATGGGAACCACTCCCTATCACCTGCTCCACCTCAACCAGCATAATGTGGCTCCCCATGCCAAAACACACACACGCATTCATTCCCACATGAGAGCAGGCGTGGGACATACGTAAGAAAACTGTATTGATGGTAGCTCTGTGCAGCAAAATGCTACCTTGAGAGTAGGTGAACATTTCAAGGTGTGGGTCTGCCAACTTCTCATAATGACACGATAAAATTAGAGGAGGAAATCCAGATCTCCAGGTTTGCTAAACAAGTGTGAAAAGAGCCCATTTGGGGCAGAGGTTCTACCTCTGCTTCGTGCCAGCTTTCCCACAAAGCAACCAGCATGTAATTGCTTACTTGCTATCTTTTAAAAGCCTTTCAGGAATACTCCCTGAAGCAACCAGAATCACAACAAACAATAAATCCAAGAAATGCTTAATAATGCAGAGACTTCTCTCACACAGTTCGAGCAGAGGCCAAGACAGATATTTGGCAGCTCTGGCTTCCTGAAAAGCACAGCTCATCCTGAAATCAATTACATCATCAGGGCACCCAGAGGTTTTATAATTGAAGACAGCAGGGTAGGTGGCCTAGTAAAACTCAATACCATGCAGTTTACAGGAATGTAAACTTTGCTGGTACCAGATGGACTGTGTTAATCAAAACAAACTTCTCTGAGAAGCAGGCAGCTTTTTAATTTGCCTGTACCATTGGAGGCATCTAGAGTTTACAGAAAGGAGCGGGGCAGCTCCTCAGCTGCTGTTCACTGCCACAGCTGTGTGAGCTATTGCAGACTGGTATCAGCAACACATTCATCCGATGCTGCAGCTGACTCAGCTTCAGTATGCAACGTGAACTTGCTCTCGTGTTCTCTTTGAAGGCTTTCTCAAGGGAAGTGAACAAACAATTAAGATGTATGATGGATGCTTCCCATTGGGGACATCTAAAAGACCATGATAAGTGTGCAGTAGAACAAGCTCTGGTATTTTGAGAGCTTGTTTTGGCCGGGTCCCTCTGCTGTGAGAAGATCATTGCTCCCATTTGTATTCTTCTCAGGAAACATATCCAACTCCCAGCAACTGCCAAAGTTTTGAACTAGTGCTTTCGAAACCCTAGTACTAAAGGAAGACATTAGAAGGATAAGCATAACAGCAATGCTGTTAACTTATTCTTAATTATTGGTAACAGCAAGACACCTCTAATCAAGACATTTTTAAACTTAGAAGTGGCTATTCTAAGTGAATGTCAAAGCTTTAGGTTATTGGTAGAGGCAAACCTAATTCCAAACCA